TATATTCTTGCAGAGAAACAGGCACAATAATAGAGATTGAGCTCCCTTCTATTTGATTCTCTTTTTTGGGTTTTGCTACAAGTAAAAGTACAGAAGCATGATAACAAAATGGTGTCAAAGACCTCACCTAAAATAAGACACTTGTCTTTTGAACTGAGGAACCGGGGAAGATGATGTACGTGTGAGGAAATGCTGACTTGGCTAGTCACACCCATAAATCACGAAGCATTAACATTTTCTGTTAGATGTAAAGCTGACGCCCAGGGGTCTTCCAATTTGTAAGGACAAGAAGCTTGACTTAATAAGGACCACATACAGAGCAAACTAGTTTTTTTTGGTCCCAGAATCCATTCAGACTGACCTATATTTTTACCTCCCACATCTACACCTCTGTACCGGATGCTGTCATGGATGAGGGATTACAGACAGATGGGCTACATAAGATGTATAGCTTCATCTACCCCAAATGGTCTAGTCTAAGAATGGGTAGGAGACATTTTTCGATGGTCTGAAAAATAGTTGGACATGTTGGTAACTTCATAGTGTAGTGGTCAGGAGTCAGGTTCACATTCCAGCTCTGCCATTTTCTAGTTAGTGGCTTTGGGCAAGTTTCTTAACCTTCCTAAGCCTGTTTCCATCTCTGTATATTGGAACAATAGTAGACCTTACCTCAAAGGATTATTTTGAGGATGAAATAGTGAATGCATGTAAAACACTCGGTAAGTGCTCAATGAACATTAATAAAAATTAGTATTGTAATTGAAGAATAGAATCCAACTCTTGTCACATCTTAGATTTGGCCTTGGGTCCAAGAAGACCTATTTGATTTCATGCAAAACTTGTAGGGCATGATTTTCTTTAGGGAGGAGGTGCAGAACTTCATTCTGATTCTCAAAAGAATGTATGGCCCTCAAAATGCTAGAACCCTGTGGATTTGATGAAATGGGGACTAAAGAAATACCAACAGCTTCCTTGCCAACAAATATCATCTTCCTGCCCCAAGACAATGCTTTGCTATTCTGCTTTTACATAACCTCAGTGATTCACTTGGAATTCCTCACAATTGTTGTGAAATCTGGGTTATCTCTCATTTCACCAAAATGACCTAAATGCAGAAATAGGCTGCCAGGACATTGGAATAAAAGGGACCACGAGACAAGTAGAGGAGTAGGAATGCAGAATCTAGTTTAGGGAAGACTGATGGTTCCTTCTCTCTTCTCCCAAAGTGGGCAGCCTCACGTTGGTCTCAGTTACCTGACTTCAGCTGATGCTCTGAGCAGACACACAATCCCCTCCCTCTCCAGTGAGGCTGGCTGGCTGTGTGGCTGATGAGGCATTTTGGGGACACCTCTCTGGCTTCCTATCATAATGGGTGCATTTGGACTCTATACATAGTTCTTGCCTACGCAACCTTTGTTGTATTTCACCTGCAAACCTCATGCAAGTGGGACTGGTATTACTACCTTCTGGGCTGGAGTTGAATTAGCATCGTTGGCAGTGTGTTTGAGACTTTTGTGATGGATTTGATAACATCACTAATATGTTAAGACATCAGGCTTCCTGTGGCAGCAAGGGCTCACAGTATTCTCGAATTGCTTTCTTTTCTCAAAGGAAGATGCTAATTTCCTACCCTGTCAGTATCTATAAAAGGAAGCGAGGCAAAAACAAAAGAAAATAGTGTATGTGAGCAGGGGTCACCCCAAATGGGCTATTTTCTTTTACACTTGTGCTCTGACAATACTCAAAACAAGGACCTCCCACTGATGATTATTTTCCCTCTGCCATTCAGATCTGCCTCCAGAAATTTCAAGGACTCCATTATGAAGACAGCTTCTAAGAACCATAGAAATCACATTGCTTTTGAAAGTGCCCGTGCGGGTGGTGGGCTGTGCGGGCTGAAGCAGCAGGCTTCAGGCTGCTTTCTCCCTTATCAGCGGTTTCTCTTTGTGAAGGAGAAATTCAGAGGCAACTGTATAATTTTAAAGTCCGATTACCACAAAGAAAGAAATGCATCTGACATCCCAATGCAGTAGCTTTGACTGTTTTAATGGAAATATGCTGGAAACGGGGGAACCTTCCACCGAAGAGAAAGTGATGAAAGACCGAAAGAGAGACATTTTATATTGGAGATAAAAGGCCTGTTTTCTAAGGTCATTTTTTTAAACTCCCCCTCCCACCTGCTACTGGGGCACCATGCAAATGTGTCATCGCAGGAACTGCTTTGTTATCCTTTTTGTGCCTCAGGTTTCCTGGTGCTGGGAAGGCTAGAAAATGGGTCTTGTTTACAACTTACTCAAATCAGATTTCTACCTTTCACAGGGCCTTAGGAATAAGGTTCAGGTGCTCACGTGAATATATTTATCTCTTTTGTCCAAGTATCATGCTACCTTTTACCTAAAGTAAACAAAAGCAAGACATTCTCGTCTAGTTCCTCCTGTGACAGGCAGGGCTGCCAACTGAATTCTCTTTTGGTTTAATCCAGATAAAATGCTCAGGGATCCCTTTAAGTGGCATTGATTAAGGTCTGGTAAGTGGTGGTGGTTTTCACTGAGGGGAAAAAAAAAACCTTTCCTCTCTGGCATGACACTCAGTTTACAGAGCCTCATCATACCGATGCTATTTCAACAACACTGGATAGGACTATAAACCCTGGGTTAGCAGCAGGGGTGTTAACAGGAGGGACAAGCCTCTGGTGGGAGCCTGCCTCACGGCACAGGCCTGATGCAGAGTTCAGCATGGTCTTTTTTTGTGCTCCTGCTACACCGAAGCACAAAGGCCCAGGTCCTTGGACGCAGAAATCAAACTGGAATTACTCTCCAGCAACAGCTTTATGAAAGAACGGCACTCCATTTTTTCCTTCCTGTGTATTTTAAGATGCATCTTTCAATATTTCTAGTTATTGATTGGCCTCACCAGTCCTTCGGGCCCGGGGTGGTCAGAGGAGAGTAAGCAGGCCAGAGGTGAGTAACTGAGGTGGTGACGCCAAGTCAAAACCATTCTCTGGAACCAAGGGACGGGCATCTGTTGGGAAGATGGGAAGGTGAGGCAAAGCTTCTTGGTAGAGATTGCAGAAGTAGTCTCCTTAGGGAGGAGATTCTAAGTTTAAATCACATGACCCCGCTTCACATTATCACACGAGCTTCAGATGGGAGGTGCCTCCTATTTATAAAGGGTCCAAGGAAAGGAACTCTTAGGGGATCACAACTTTCCTTTTCCATCTTCCCCTAATCCCAGCCTCCCTGTGAAGCTGCATTTCTCAGACAAGTGAATCACTTTTTTTTTTTTTTACACAATACAAGGCTAACCTTTTGTCTATAGCCAAGTGTTTATGCTCCCAAGAACACGTGGACATGTAGGCTTACTCCATGGTGTTATGAAGTCTGCTTCCTTTGCTGCTGTGTCCAACACATACCATAAATGACCTCTACATCAGGGGTCAGCAAACTTTTTCTGTAAAGGCCAACTGGTAACTGTTTAATGTGTTCTGGGACACGAGATCTCTGGCACAACTACTCAGCCCTGCTGTTACAGTAGGAAATCGGCCATAGACAACATGGGAATCAACGGATGTGGCTGTGTTACAATAAAACTTTATTGATAAAAACAGCTGATGAGCCAGATTTGGTTGAGGGGCCACAGTTTGCTGACCCCTGCTCTGGAATCAAACCTCAAGCAATCTTTGGTCTGCAGTTGCTGGACAGGCAATGAAAACGAGCCAGAGGAAGACTGATGTAAAAGAAACGAAAACCAATTCAAGTTGGTAAGAGCCGTTCCTTGGTTGACAAAATTAAAACACCTCCTATCAAGTTGCCATCTATACAGATGCCACCATAGGGTGTTTGAAAACCTTGCTCACACGCTCCCAGTTTCCCAAGATTGGGCCTTTATGACTTGGTGCTAAATAGACATAGTGCTAAACCTATCTAGAGATCAACTTTTCATTTTTTATAACTTCTCTGAAGAATATGGACCTACTAGCACTTCAAGAATATTAAAACTTCATTTGATGTATTTATGCCACCCACTGCACTGACAAGCATGATTGTCCAGAATACATTATAAAAATTAGAATCTCATTTTTTAAAATTAAAGGTTCTCAGATTTTAATGTAAAAGATATATTTTTCTCCCCCCAGAATTCCAGTAAAACTGTCTCTCATGACCATGGATGCATATTCTAGTTGAAGAAAGTAGGGAGAAAAAAAAGTACATTGAAGAACTTACAATGCATTTTATCAAATTCTAAAGTCTAAACCAAAATACATAATTTAATCTGCACCAGATTGCCTGCTCATTTGTTACCTGGTATATTGTGTCCACTTAGCACAAATGAAAATTGGGATTTTTTATCCTGTCTGTCCCCCATAAGTGCTTGATTTCTATTCTTGGCTGCTATTATAATTTCTGTTTTGTTTGTGATCTGAATACCTTTAGGATAAACTTTTCTAAGTGGGATCACAGCAGTCTTTTTACTGGTATAAAATTCCCAAGGTGCTGATCTCCAGCTTCCAGGTAGTGATTAGGCCAACATCAGAAGAAAGAGGATCAGGAAGCTTTCGTGTTCTTGTCACCTGTGGATTGTGTCGACTGTGTGGAAGGGTGGTGTGTCTGCTTGCAAAAACTTTGTATTATAGCATTCAGCCACAAAGGACCTTGCAGCTACTCCCATTTATCTGAACGATGTCGGGGAAATGCTCTCAGCCGCCAGGGAGGGCCTTTGCTGGCTTGGCAGAGCCCTATGTGTGGTAAATGCAGATTCTGGCTGCAGGACCTTACAGGATATATGGAATATGGACCCACAGCAACCTGATAGCTTTTTGGAGTTTTCTTGTTTACATCCTACTGCTATAAACTAAGCAATCTCATGATCTTGCCCTTGAACAACCCAACTCTTCTCTATGGGACGCTGAGCAGGAGGGACTGGAGGGAGCCTGGGGTCTGGAAGCCGGCAGGGCCATGGTCTGACCAGCGCCGCCCTCCCCCCCCCCCACCGTACTTCCAAGGGACTGAGCACACATAGCTTGCTTTTACATCCATGTGTACAAACCGTAGCCCGGGGCTCGAGTGGCAGCTCCTACATATCCAACCTCTTCTTTTTTAATCTCCTATGACAAATCTTACCCTGCTTGTGAAGTAAGAACAAATTAGAACCTTGTTGAAGGAAAAAAAACAAGAAACGAAAGCCATCCAGGGCTATAAACACGACTTCATTGCGGATCGTGGGGCCAACGCTGGCCGAGTGGCATCCGGACTGTCTCCGCCAGGCGTGGCTCCAGTCCGCACTCCTCGGACTCCACATCTGCCGCTTGGCTTGTCCACCTGCTGTTGAGACGCCCAGTCATCACTGAGCCATTCCCCTCCAGGGGCCCAAAACAAACTACAGGAAACGACATGATAAATAGGATGTGCTTCTCCTTGCTGAGTGCATTGACTTAAGGCATAGGCACAGTTTCCCCCTCTTTGAACAGAGATGGTGTAATCCCCTGTCCCAGCACAAGAGCTGGCCAGGGTGACCCTGGAGCATGACAATGAAGACGAGTGATGGGTGGTAGCTGATGGCGGGAATTAGAGAGCTGCCTCCACACGTGGGGGTGGGGTGGGTGCTGCGGGGCCCCGGGGACACAGTGATTCTGATAAAGACGCTTGACTCAGTTTGCCTTACGTTTCAGTGAGCGTGTCTGGGGGAGGCATGCAGTATTTTAGGTCTGTTTGTCTTGCAGAAAACATAATGGTGGAGTAGGAATATGAATATCCCTAATATATAAAAGATCGCGTCAGTGTGTGCATGCCTTTAAAAATAAGAGGCATGTCTCTAAACCACCTGCCAATCCCAGGAAACATGTAAAAGCAATTAGGTTCCCAATGCTACTCTTAGACTATCTCCAAATGGCCCCTCTTGGGGTAGGGGTCCCCCTCTTGTTAATTTCGATTGATCCAATTATTTTCTGAGTTGGAGTCTATTGAATAAGTCAGAAGTGAGGCCAGAACAGATTTTGAGCCTTTTCCCCCTTTAAACAGAGATACATTACCCATTTACTCTGCCTGTAAGGCCACTGAGTAGCTTCCAGCTGACTGAGGAGCAGCTGTTACCCTACTTTGTGCTGATTTATAACTCCGGTTTTGACTGGGGGATAACGTGTGAGTTTGAAGGAAGTAAGACAGCAGGAATTGGGTGAGCCGTTCACACTTTGCTAAAATTCACCCTCTTCACTCATCCAGCTACAAAAGCCCCCAAACATTTGAATGCCGAGGAAGAACAGCCATTTCGAGCGCCTGCGGCCGAACGGCCTGGTCCCTAAACGTGAAGAGGGAGAAGTTGGCGGCCTCACCAAAGCTGCAAAGGGAAAACCGAATGGTCTGTTTTTAACTCCAAGGTCGCAGCACTCGAGCATGACTTGGAGATTCCCGCCATCACTGCCCTGTAATGACACTAAAGGAGAAGACATGCTGCTACTCAAAGGCGTAGATGAATATTTGGTAAGTGTCCAAGACACTGAGTGATTTTTGAAGGGTCTGGGGAATGCTGAGTCTGAATTAGTGTTTTGATTTGTATCATGTAGGTGGTGGGTGGGGATGGAAATGACCAGATATCCAGGGTCACCCGTGGTTCCTTTTGTACTGAAACCTCATTTTATACAGAGGATATATATATTTATTTATATATATTTATATATATTTATATCCACCCACACACGCAAACACGCTCACACGTAAACGCACGCACGCACACGCACGCACAAAGTCTTTGATAGGCTTTCTGTGTTCTAGTAAAAATAGCCGGCAGCCAGCATCTAAAGCCAGAGAGAGGCCTTCTGCTGCCAACGATGTCCTCTGTAGAGAGTCTCTCAAAGGCAGACACTTGTGTTTATCTGACAAGTGGACCCGGTCCCTGCCTGGGACAGGAATAATCTCCCGTTGGCGCAGACGCAGATCTCAAAGACCTTCTGCCTCGCTCCTGTGGGCGTGTAGGATCCGTGAGGCAGTCTAGGTAGTTTGATTTTCGCAGCATCTAACTTAATCTAGAGAGAGTAAATAGGAAGGGAGAGTTAGAGGCTGGTATGTATTCTCCTGATGTGCATAGTGGATGAAAGTTTTATTCAACTTAAATCGAATGAGCACATACTACGCGTTGAGTGTTGTAGGCCCTGGGCACGTGGAGATAACAAGAGCAAAAGCCTCTACCCTCACAGAAGCTTCTATTGGAGCAGGACAACACTGCCCTGACAACGTTGTATAGATTAGCATTTTGCAAAAGTGTATCATGTAGAAGGTGAGCAGGGTCCCAGAGTGAAACAAGGTTGGAAATGCCAGCTTAGCAATTTCCTTTATTGGAGGCTTTCTCAGACCCTAAGTATGTCGGTGTGCATGGTGCGTCTTCAATACCAACACTTTTTCCCCCTCTCTCCTTCCCTTCCCCTCTAAAGATAAATAAAATGTTTAAAAAAAAAAAGAATACACAACACTCTGTGGGTGTAAGTGACTGTTACAAGATGACCGATTCCTGCAGAATCTGGACCCTGATAGCTTTGACTGTACCTGATGTAGTCACTGTGTTAAATGTGTGTGGCTTGGAGTTTGCTGCTGTTTGAAGAGACAGTTTAATAACTGAAATCTGACCAGCTCTTTTTAAATCAGGTGCAGCAGGTTTCGAACCAGTGAAAAGGCGGGCTTGGCGTACAGAGGCAGCTCAAAGCTGATCAACTCTCAGTAGCTGTGACCAGTAGAATCAAGTTTTGCTTTAAAAAAGGAAAACACATTTTTTTCTCTTTTTAAGATTCTTAAATAGAAAACTTTGCTTATGAACACAAGGAAGGCATTTAAAAAGTCTGCAGCTGAACCAGGTTTTCTTTACGTTGCCTGTGAAAACACAAGCAGCCATTCTGCTCATCAAAGTGGGGTTGTGTTGGGGTAAGAGAGTGAATGTTCACCATCTGTCACCCTCCTGTCACCTAGTCTGTTGAACTTTCAGCTTGTCTGAGCTGGGGTAGCTGTAGGATCCGACTCTCCATGCTCAGTGAAAGCAGAGACATGCAACATAAACTTTACAAATGACTGCAAGTACATTAAGTTCTTCTTTAGCCAGATGCATGTAGGACACATACCTTAATTTGCTAGCTACCTAAATCTTATTTTAAGGTGACAGGAGATAGAATTTGGAAATAGCAATCATCTTTACAGCCATATATATTATCCTCTACTTGCTATACATGCTGTTTTCTCAGCATCTTACAAATAGTGACTCATAATTTTTACGTGTTTGGGGTTTGGCTTATCGTGGTCCTTCCTGACATATCTGTTTCAGAATAGAACCTTCTGGTGGGTCCCTCCTGTGGGTGCAGTGTAGGGCCAACGGCAGCCGTGAGGGGAGAACAACGCAGTTCCGGGGAAGGCTGGCTGGTTGTGGCCAAGTGTCTCTGGGGCCACGCCCCCCTCTCCCTTACCTCTCCATCTTTGGACTCCAGTCTCAGCTCTGTTCTGCAGGTGGCTTCCAGGTTGCCAGCTTCCGCATTTATTTCTACTCCCTTTGGGGCCTCCATCACCAGAGAGCGGGTTGGGGACTCCAACCTGAAATATACACAAGGCTAAGATTAAAGATCCCATTTCGGCTCTTTGTAGAATTTAAGAGGAAGTTTGATGTCCAGAGCACCGAAACAGCACTTCAGTATTTGATCAGCAAATGTTTCCAGCTTTGATGAACAAACCCGGTGAAGCAGATAAGGGAGCACAGCTCTGGGCTTTACTTTCAGTACGTATCACAAAGGTTGTACAGAGAGAGTTCGAGGGTCCTGACTGCCTCTTATCTTACCCCCTGTCAGTCACTGCTTCACTGGCAAAACTAACCAAGTTCCTATGTAAGTTTTTTTTATTTTTAGACTAAGGCAACCCCAGGCCTAAACTGAGTTTCCTAGACCTGGTAGGTATTCCTTGTACTCTGTCCTACTTCCTGTGTCTTCCACGGAGGCAGAGAGACAGCCCTGGACTGAAGCCCTGGGGCTGCCACCACCGACCTTGGGCAAGCCTTGTTCTTTCTCTTTGCCAAAAGTTCTCAAAGCCTCCTTTTCCTCACCTGTAAAGTACTTCAAACAGTGGCTGGCATGTTGGAATGCATAATACGTGTTAACTGATGTTCACTGCTGTTAATACTGTTACAATACCAGCAAATCACAAAGCAATTTCAGGCCTTGCTCGAATAGATTTGTCAGAAGGAAATTCGGGACAGCTCAGTGGCCGGAGGGGTTTGGAGAGGGGGAGGGAGTTCACTGCAGAGCCACAGCACCAGGAGGCGGGTTCCAGTCACACAACTGCTCTGCTCCTTGACCGCAGTGGGGGTTGCATGTCTGTGCGTTTGCGGGCGCTCACCTAACTACAGCCCCGAATGGGTGCGTGCATTTTATTGCACGTAACTTAATTATCGTGTTCATTATTCTCACAAAACAGAGGCTAATATCCTTAGAGTATGTTAGTTAATTACTGTGCGTTAAATTAAAAACAGGGGCTAATACTCCTTAGAAAGATTTTTGCCTAATTCACTTCATGGGAAAATGTTACCCACCCACTGAATAGTCCTCCGTTTGAGGTTGTTACCAAACACACATGAATGAAGGTCCTCCTCTCTGTCGCAGAGAGAGAAAGTGTCCCAGCTAAGGAAGCAAGGGCCTCAGCATGGCTCTCTGACTGCTCTGATTCAGACCAATTTCCTGTGTTCCTAATTTTCAGACACTTAAAAAAATTCTCACCTGAGGATATGATTATTTATTTGAGAGAGAGAGAGAGAGAAACATTGATGTGAGAGAGAAATTGGCTGGTTGCCTCCTGTTCAAACCCACAACCTTTTGGTGGACAGGATGATGTTCCAACCAACTGAGCCACTGGCCAGGGCACGTGCAGACACTCTGAACGTGTTCAAAAGGAACATCACCCTGTCTGCCAACTGCTGACTCCCTTCTCTGCCTCCCACCCGCCCTATGCCTCAGACAAACCGCCTTGGGCTTCGCAGGTGGCAGAGGGAGCAAGCTGACCAGTGGGACGTCACCACTGAGATGGACGCCACCTGCCACAGGTGCCACGAGAGGGCTCCTCCACACTGCCAGGCTGGGCTCCTGAGGTCTGCATCTGGGCAGCAGTCTCCTCCACTGATTTTTGTATTTGCCCTACAGTGCCTCAGCCAGAATCAGAGAGAAACCACAGGTCCAGAACTTGTAGATGGGCAGGCTTGGGTTCTCTAAAGTTCGTTCTTTCCCTTCTGCCGTCCCCTTTTGTGTGCAGCAAAAATCCCCCGAGCCCTTCTTTCTCCTCCTGGCAAGACCTCCAGCAGGTGCTGCTGGTTCAGGTGTGGCTCTGCTTGGAACTAGGGTTCACCTCCTCTGCACGTGGTTTTCCCCAGTGTAACCTCAGTACCAGGAGGGGTCTCGTTACCCGAGCAGCAGGGAGGGCCGCTGTGCAGGGCGGCCTTGCCCACCCACTGAGTCCCGCTCACCCGAGCTCCTCCTGTGCTCCCGACTGCTCTCACTTTTGAAATTAGAAGATGGTTTTGCATCTTGGTGTTTTCTGTTGTATAAGGTCTGCTGACTGAACCCAGTTTATCCTACCTTTTCTAATGTCTTCTGTTTTCACTAAGGTTCTCCCCTCTGACCTAATTTTCCCTTCTGGTAATACTGCCTGCTCACCCCCAGCTGTGTCCACACTCTGCTCAATGGTACGGCTGCCGCCCACCTCGCCCAGGCGACAGGCCCCATGTCATCTTCGTCCCCTTCGCCCTCCCTCATCTGGTCCGTTAACTCACAACTTCTCCACGGTCAGTATACTGTTCCAACCGCCTCACAATTCATTCTCTCACTTTTCCTTTTCTCTCCTGTACTTCACACGCAAGTATGCCTTCCGAAAGTGAGTTTTGAGTACATCACTTTTCTTACCAAAACCTCCACAAGTTCCTTAGAAAAGGTCTGATCTTCTGAGTTGACTTAGCCATTGAGAACTTGGTCTGATATATTTTGTTAGTTTTATTTCTCACCACAAACATCAGCTATGTTTTACTGAGAACATACTAGGTAATGGATCCCGTGCCAACCATGTTATATCATGTCATCCTGACACAAATCCTACGACTTAGCTGTTCCTGGGATCCTGACCGTACAAGCAAGGAAACCATGGTAAGCAACTTACTCAGGGTTAAACGTCTAGTAAAAGGGCAGAGCCCAGACTCAAGTTCAAGTTTAGTGGACACCAAAGCCAGTGCACTGACCACACTACCATACCACTTCCAAAACAACTGAACTTCTTTCCTGTCCATCATATCTTCATGCTGCTCTTTGTCATGAACGCTGCCTCTTTCTTCATGGACTTGGCCCTTGTAGTCCCAAACCAGTCTCTGTATGCGAGGGTCAGGTGATGTACTCCGCACGCTTCCCCAGGCGCCACATTTCCTGTAACTTATTTAAACATTTGGCAGCAATGATATCAAATTCAGAATATGGTGGGTTTGCCCACATTCGGTAGGCAGTATTCAAAGTGAATGATTCATACACACACACACACACACACACACACACACACACACACACACACAACAGAGGCTAATGTCCTTAAGAGTATTATATATATATATAAAACAGTTGCGGTGGGGAGAAAGAATTTAATAGAAAAAAATCTGCAGCTTGAAGAAGTTTATCAGGTGGTGTTGGCATTTCAAACCAGCCCTGGAATTCCCTTCACTCCTGCTCAATGCCGCTCGGAGATCAGCAGGAGACCCCCCTGCAAGGCCAGAGTGGATGCCAACCAAATCCTACCTTTGCCCCCTCTCAGCCCTGGGAGTGCGAGGGTGCTGAGCCAGGGAACTACTCTGAAACTGTCTCCTACAGTAAAAGGCTACAAAAAGGTAGACACCACTATTTTGAGGAAGCAGAGACCAAAGGTAACTGGCTTTCCGATTTACAGCCCATCTTAACTTCCTTTGCTGTCAGGCATCATTGACAGGTGACTCACATGCTAATCATTTCTTTGGGACAAAAGGTCTTGCTGGAGCCCCGTGGGGTCAGCAGAGAGCAGACAAAGCACTCCAGGAGCAGGCCAATCAATTTCTGACCAATTACCAGTCACACAACACAGTGCCTTACTTGGCATTGGCCTGGAGCAAGGAACAATGGAAGGCGGCCTCCTCCTGCTGGCTCTGGGAAGAGCACTGCTTCCCTTAGGAGAAAGTGCAGCTCTCCCGAGGGAGGGCTGATGTGACTCAGAATGGGAGAACGGGCAGCTAGGGAGGTTCCCAGGGCTGGGCCTCAGGAACAATGGTTCTCAGCGGCATCAGAACCCCCTGGGGGGCCTGCTGAAGCAGATTTCTGGGCTTGGGCCCAGCTCTGATGCCTGGGGCTAGGGCGGTGCCTGAACACTGGCACTTGTGATGGGTTCCCAGGTGATGCTGAAGCTGCTGCTGGTTTGGGGACCACCCTTTGAGAGCTACTGCTCTAAAGCAGCTGTCATAATCTCTGGCACACACTAGGGTTAGGCAGGTGACCTAAATAAAGCTGAGAGAGCTGTGAGGAGGGCCAGAGTCTCCAGACAGTAACGCAGGGCAAGTGGTGGAGGCCCTGTCTGCAGGAGCGGCTGCTGTCCTAATCTGTCCCACTGCTGCCAGAACTTCTGATTAAATATTTTTTAAAAAATTTTATCCTAAATCATTCCATTTTTAGAACTGATGCAAAAATCAAGATTTCTAAAAATATTAATATGGTATAAAGACCGACAATGCAATGAGTCTTGTAGAGGAGCCATCCTTTTTAAGAAAGTTTGTCAGCTCTGGGATTGCGCTGAGCTCCTCTTCCCAACCCCACCCGTCTCCTCCTCTCCAGGGTAATCACTAGTGGACCTGGGGCTACCGTTCCCTTGCCTTTCTGTAGCAGATGACCACACTGCATTTGCCTCCTTGAACACTCCATTGTCTGCTGTCGCCTGTTTTTGACTTTACACACAAAATAATCCCACTTAAGTGTTCTTTAGTGACATACACGTTTTTTCCCTCTCAACGTCCTGTTCCTGAAATGCATCCGTGTGTACAGTTTCCCTGGTGCTGTCTTCCATTGTGAGGTATTTGTCCATCCTTCTGTTGGACAAGCGGGTCGGTTCCAGGTTTCTGTTTCTGCAAACTGCATCTTGTACACAGACCCCGGTGCACGTTTGTAAATTCTCTTTAGGACACACGTGTGAGGAGTGGGGTCCCTAGCTTCTAGGATATGCACATGTACAGCTTTCTTAGGTACTTTCCCACTAGAAGTGTAAAGGGTTCTGCAGCTTCCACTTTCTTGCTCGCTTTTGATATTTTTAACTATGAAATGAGTGTGAAATGGGAGGCTGTTGTCTTTTAAATGTACATTTCCAGATTGGCAATGGAGTTTAGCATCTCTTCCTTTGTTTGCAAGCCATTTGGGGTTCTTCTTCAGTGAAATGTCTTTTGTCTGTTTTAATTGCTTTTGTTGTTATTTTGTGCATGAAAATTACAGCAATACTGTATTCTGAAAACTAATTATTTAGTAGTTCTGACAGTTTCCTTTGAGTCTGTGATTTCTCTTTTC